CTCCATTTAACCACTCTAACCTGGAAATGGCACTGTGGCTGAAAGTGCTAGAGCAGTAATCTTGAGCAAAAGAGCTCAGTGATAGCACCCAGGCCCTAAGTTCACGCCCTACAACTGACTAAAACAAAAATGTTGGGGGAATTAGGCACCAGTGGCTCATACCTCTAGTCCTAGCTACTCAGGAGGCTCAAATCTGAGGATCAGATCTCCATTCAAAGCCAGCCTGGGCAAGAAAGTCCATGGGAGTCCTATCTCCAATTAAGAAATTTAAAAAAGCTGGAATTGGAGCCACCGTGGCTCAAGTGATTGTTAACTTTGAGCAACAGGGCCCAGGCCCTGAGTTCAAACCCCAAGACTGGCACTAAAATAAAGAAAATCAAGGGGCTGGGAAGGTGGCTCAGTGGTAGAGCGCTTGCCTTGCATGCATGAGGCCCTGGTTCGATTCCTCAGCACCACATAAGCAGAAAAAACTGGGAGGGGCGCTGTGGCTCAAGGGGTAGAGCGCTAGCCTTGAGCTGAAGAGCTGAGGGACAGCGCCCAGGCCCAGAGTTCAGGCCCCACAACCAGGAAAAAAAGAAGAGAAAGATTATAGCTAAGTGCTGGGAGTTGAGCAGTGTGGCACAAGTGGTAGAGCTTTTTGGTAGTTAATTGGAGAGACACATCTCACAGACTTTCCTGCCCATACTGGCTTTGAACCTGGATCCTCAGCTCTCAGCCTAGGACTGAGCAGCTAGGACTACAGGAATGAGCCCAGGGTGCCCAGCTTCATTTATTGCTTAGGACAGACACTGCCAATGTCGGACAGTAGAGGGCAGCAGTGCACTGGCAGCCAGCCTGGCTATGGGGCCTCAGGTGAGGGGACCCTGGAGGATGTGTCCAGGGCACATGACCGAGGACGTGGGAGGAACATGGCTGCCTTGGGACTCCAGGGATCCAAGCCTAATAAAGACCATTTGTTTCCCAGGCGCCTCCAGGAGAAATCTGAGCTGCCTGGATGGCAGGGGACCTGGTGCGGCCAGCAGACAGTGGGCTTCCTGCCCGCCCCGCCCCTCCCCTTTGCAAAAACCATCCCAGATCATGGGAGCCGGCAACCCCCACAAACACCAGGCCTGGTAGCTGTACAAGAGGCACTTTATTAGGGGCTTGTATGCAGTTAGACACGGGGAGGGCTGGGAGGAGGGGCGGGCAGGCTGGGGGCAGGCAGTCTCCCCCTGGGATCCTAGCATATGGCAAAGGACATATGAAGAGTTTGGCAAAGGATCCCCAGAGTTTGTGATGAACAGGCAGAGAGGGTTTTCCCTTAGGCAGGCGTGTGCGTGTGTGTGCGCGTGTGTGCATAATGCTGATCCTGGGGCTTGCACTCAAGAACTCAAGAAGCTGTGCCTTAGCTTCTTGGCTCAAGGCTGGTCCTCTACCACTTAAGCCGTGGCTCGGCTTCCAGCTTCTTTGTGTGTGGATCGTGGGGCTTGAACTCTGGGCCTGGGCATTGTCTCTGAACTCTGCAGCTCAAGGCAAGCGCTCCTCCACTTGAGCCACAGCACCACTTCCAGTTTTCTGAGTGGTTCATTGGAGATGAGTCTCATGGATTTTCCTGTCTGAGTTGGCTTTGAACTTGGATCCTCAGATCTCAGCCTCCTGAGTAGCTAGGGTGACAGGCGTGAGCCACTGCCACCTGGCACTTCCAGCTATTCAACCCTAAATACCCAGCTGCCTGAGTATTTAGCATTAGCACTCAGCCAGACCCTTTCTTCCTTACCCAAGAGCGCAGCATGGAAAACAGGCACAGGAAGAGGGGAAACTGAGCTTCCAGCCAGCCAAGCCAGCCTGCCTGCAATTTCCATTACAGATCCATTGCTAGGTCTGACTATTCAAGCCTGCTCCCCGACTCCTCTCCTTCCATCCGGGGTCCCTCATGGGAACTCTTAAGCCAGATCTCCATCCCCCATCCCCTCCACACACACACACACACACACACACACACACACACACACATACACATACCAGCCCGGCCACCCCTGGCTGGGTGGGAAACAATGAAGGCACTAAGGGGCATTTCATATCCATCCGGCTGTGGAGGCCGATGGAAGAAAAGCTACTAGACCCTTTAATGCAGGTCCAGGTTAAAAAGTCCTCCAGAAATGCATGGGAGGGCCCTTGGGCCAGTTGTTCAACCAGTGGAGATGGGGCCTTGGCCCACAGGGGAGGGGGCAGTGGGCGGAGCTTGGCGCCACCCAGTGGGCGGAGCTTGGCTCCAGCAGCTCCTCCTCCTCCGGCTCAGTCTTTCCCATCCACTGTGGAGAAGCAGCCAGGAAGCACGAAGGAGCCAGGCAGAGATGGAGTCACCTCCCAACCGGATTCGTCACCATCCGGACCTGGAGGGGCTGGGGTGACTCACGGTGTCCTTTCTGGCTACTGTAAAACGTGGCTGTGGGCACAGAGAGGCAGTGTGACAGGACATCAGGTGAAGTCCGATAGGCTTGGAGGGGTGCAGGGGGGGTCCTGACCCAGCTGCCCTCTGAGCACCCTGGGGGGTGGCGGGGGGTGGTAGAGGTGGCCAGAGGTGACCGAGGCCCTGGCCTTTAGGACTCAGCCAACTTCTTGTTGGTCTTGTTCAAGAGTTTCTTGAGAGTCGAAGACATGAAGTAAGGCCTCTCTGCGGAGCCGTCGTTCCTCTCCAGGTCCTCCACTAGAAAGAAAGGCCACAGAGCGGCTGGCGTGAGAGCCGGCCCCCCAGGCAGGGGGGAGCTCTGCAGACAGGGCATGGGCAATGAGGGCCATTAGAGAAGCATCAGAGGGTTAGAATGCGAGACACACGAGGCTCGGAGAGAGAGGCGAGATGGGGGTTCACACAATCCCCCCATACTCCCAGGCCACTAAGTCTCCTCCCCACTTTGGCATGCACTGCCCCCCACCCCAGGGGTCTCCAAAGAGAGGCCACCTGGACCCTCTGGATGACCAGGAACACATCGGTCTGTCTGTCTATTCCTCCACCTCTGCCCGCTTGCCCTCCTCCGCACTCCCCTTCAATAAGATGTCTCTCAGCTCGGGCGACATGAAGTAGGGTCGCTCCTGAGAGCCGTCATTCCTTTCAAGGTCCTCACCTGGGCCCCCCGGGCACCAACCGGCAGGGGGAGAAAATTGGGGTAGCCAGGAAAAGGAGGGGGACAGGAGGGGAGGCAGGGAGGGAAGAACAGGGGGAGGGCCAGCAGGCATGAAGGAAAGAAAGGAAAAGAAACCAGGGGCAGAGGGAAGACAGATGGAGAAATCAGAGTTAGTAAGAGCCACAGGTGCCCCAACCCCAACGAAGCCAGCAAACTTCCCAAATCCAGGGGACTCCCCCCCGCCAAAGAGGGGAAGAGCCATCCGTGAGCACAGTGAGGAAGCAGGGAAGGCATGCTGGGACCCCAGGACAAAGGGCAGCCAGGGCCTGGGGGACAGGGAGGCAGGGAACGGTGTGGCTCTAGTGAAGGGGTCAGGGCCCTGCAGGGCGGGGGGGAGGGGTCACTCACAGAAGCAGAGGAACAGCGTGTCCACACACATGCCGTAGACGCTGAAGAAGCCATGAGCGATTAAGTAGGAGCCGACGATCACCGTCTAGGTAAAGGAAGAGGGTTTGCCAGTGTGCACCCCCAACTCCTGCCCACACAAACCCTCGCCCACCCT